TCTTCTGGTTCATTTCCAAAATGGCTGCAACGTCCAGGTCTGGGTCAGGTCAAAGCCAGGAGCTGGGAACTCCGTGTTGGTCTGCCGTGTGAGTGCTGAAACCCAAGAACTTGGCTCATCCCCATGGCCTCCCCTGTGCGTTAGCAGGAAGCAGGGTTGGAAATGGCTCGTCTGCTGGGACTTGGAACCATGCTCTCAAATGGGATGCCTGTGTTGTAAGAGGTGGCTTAACCTGTTGTGCCCAATGCCAACCCCTGTTAACACACACTCTCTCTTTAAGATGTATTTTATTTATGAAAGGCAGAGTTGCAGAGAGAAAGAGAGAGATCTTGCATCTGCTGGTTCACTCACCAAACGGCTGCAATGGCCGGGGCTGGGCCAGGCCAAAACCAGGAGCCAGGGGCTTCTTCTGGGTCTTCCATGTGGGTGTGGGGCCCAAGCAGTTGGGCCGTCCTCCACTGTCTTCCCAGTGGGGAGCTGGATCTGAAGTGAAGCAACTGGGACCTGAACCTGCTCCCATACGGGGTGCTGGCTCTACAGGCAGAGGTTTACCTGCAATGCCACAATGCTGGCTCCTAAATTTCTTTTTTAATCACTTGTGTTATGTTTAACATTTCCTTCTTTTCTGCTTTTTTAAAAAAATATCAACCACACTTTTATTTTTTTTAAGGTTTGTTAATTTAATTGAAAGGCAGAATGACAGGGAGAAAATCTGATAGAAGAGAGACGCTTCCCCTGCTGGCTCACTCCTGAAATGCCCAGAAGAGCTGGGGCTGGTCTGAGCTCAAGGCAGGGCTCTGGAACTGCCCCCGTTCCTCCCACCTGTGTGATAGGAGCCCAAGCACGTGGGCCTCCTGCTGCTGCTTTCTCAGTTACGTTAGCAGGGAGCTGGGTCAGAAGTGGAGCAGCCGGGACTTGAACCAGCACTCCTTTATGGGATACCAGCATCATAAGCAGCTGCTTATCGTGCTACACCACAGCATCCGCTCCCAAGCTCTGCCCCGCCCCCCCCTTAAAGATTTATTTATTTATTTGAGAGACAATTACAGATAGAGAGAAAGGTCTTCCATCTACTGATTCACTCCCCAAATGGCCACAATGGCCAGAGCTGGGCTGATCTGAAGCCAGGATCCAGGAGCTTCTTCCAGGCTCCCGTGGGTGCAGAGGCCCAAGCACTTTGATCCAGCAGAGCGCTGGATGGGAAGAGGAGCAGCCGGGACACGAACCAGTGCCCGTATGGGATGCCGGCACCGCAGGTGGAGGCTTAGCCTACTACACCACAGTGCTGGCTCCCCAGATCCTTTTCTTTTTATCATCCCATTTTTTGTTCTTTAAGTAAGTTAGTTAGACATTGTCTTAGTATTTTTTAAATGATGATCTTAGAAATGAAAACAGGTATGTTGGACTTGTTATGCAATAATTCAGATTGTGGCTCTCTTGGTAATGCTGGATACAGCTGGGAAATAGAGCTCTTAAACTCCATGTATTCCCTGTCTCTTTTGTGTCATCGTCGTGTGTCTGCATATTTTAAACTCAGTAAGACATGACAGTTCTGTGTAGTTGATATTCAGTTTATATGTTTTATATTCATGGTTGTTTTTCTTCCTTCCTTCAATCCCACGTTGCCCTCTGGGATCACTTTCCCCTGGCCCAAGAACCCTCTGTGGGATTCCTTGTAGTCTAAGTCAGCTACAGGGTTTGCTTTGATTAAAGTGTTTTATCCCATCTTTGTGAATTAAGTCTGTTTCCAAGTAACACGGCCTTCGAGGTTGGCAGGTATCTCCCCCTTCCAGATGGAGTTCCGCTCCCTTCAGGGCTCCTCCGTTTCTGGGGAGAAGTCAGGTTTTGTACGTGTTGTTTTGTCTTTGAAGGTGAACTGTATTTGTTTTCTGCTTCTCATTGCTTTTTGTCTCTGTGGTTGTTGGCAGTCTTGCTATGAATTGCATAGGAATGCTTTGCTTCTTACTTACCCTCCTTGGATTTTGGAATTTCTGGATGCGTGTCTTTGTCATCTCGCTGCTGTAGCATTGCCCCGTCGCCCTGCTGTCCTTGGCCCTCAGTTCACGCGCCGTCCTCCGTGCCCACCCATCTCTCTTCTCTGCGTGTTCCTCCTCTGTGCTTCTGTTCCTTGTGTTTCTGAGGATTATCTTTCTTTTCACTAATTTTGTCTCTTGTTGTGTCTGCTTTCACACTCATAGATTGGATTCTTAATTTAACAGATTGTAATGTTGTAGTTTTAGGATTTCCATTTGATTCTTTTTAAAAATGTTCTTCTCTGGGTTCATTTTTTATTTATTTATATCTACTTGAAAGAGCAAGAGAGAGGGGGAGAGAGACAGAAATAGAGAGATCCATCCATCGTCTGTTTGCTGTCTCATTCCTCAAATGTCTACAACGGCCAGGTTGGGCCAGGTTGAAGCCAGGTGCCCAGAGCTCCGTCTCGCTCTCCCAGTGGGTGGCAGGATCCCAAACACTCAAGCCATCGCCTGCTGCCTGCCATGATGCTGAATGAGAAACAGGGAAGCCAGGACAGAAACCAGCACTCCGACTGGGGATCTGGGCATCCTAATTGGGGGATTGACCCCCTGTGTCACCATGACTTCCCCTGATTCTTTTTTTAAATTTTTTAAATTCTTTTTTCAAAATTTTATCTACTAATGTGTTGTTTGCCTCTGTTCTGTATTGTATTGGTTTTAAAATATTATAAATTATAATTATCTGATTTTTTTATTGGCTACGGGCAGTGTCTGGATCACCTGTGGGTCTATTTCTTTCACCTTCTTTGGCCCTTTGGTCTGGCCTTTTGGCTGCCTTTCATCATTTTTGGTTGAAGGCAGGATTGTGTGTATGTCAAGCTGTAAAAGCTCAAGATGATGGGTTCTTCCCCCAACGGTGACTCATCCTGTCTCTTCTAGGCTGAGAAAGTGGGGCTCATCAGAGATATCTGAACTCGGTCAGGTTCATGCTGTAGCCTTGGGGATGCGCAGCCTGTGTGGCTTTGTCCCTGGTTCTCCAGGGTTTTCCCCCGAGAGTCTACAGAGTTCTCTGGGACGCTTCTCGCTGGCAAGTTCCAGACTCGTGGCGCTTTCTCTGTAATCTGAGAACAAGTCCACCCTGCTCTGCAGAGGTTTTCCTTTTGAGGCTTGCTTTCCACCCTGGGCTGCGTGGCGCTGGCAGAAGTCTTGGGGGGGGGGGGGAGGGGGGGAGCTGGAGCTGCGGTGGCACCTGTGGCCAGCACGCATGCGTCCACCATCTCCATTGTTTAGTCACCATTTAGGCAGATCTTTCATGAAGCAGCTGTGATGGATTGCAGCTTCTGGGCTTACACAGAATTCCTGGCTTTGCAGTGGAATGGATTTAAATATAAGATTACCTCTAGGGTAATTCATTATCACTTAGTTTACAAAATTTTCTGTTGTACACAAGTTTTCAGGTGTGGTATACTTTTAATTAGGCCAAAAGCTACTCAGTATTAATAAAACGTTTGAGCTGCAACATTTTAAAATGCAAATGTGTTGCTTTTTATTAACACAGCAGCTTGAATTAAGTACAAATAGTTTATAGATGAAGTTTATTTATAATTTGTAACATGTATTGGCGCACACATACCTGATGTGCAGGTATCTCATTATCCATTTATGGAATGGGCTCCGCCTCTAGAACAGTTTCCAGTTACCAGCAGCTCTTTAAGATGAATGGATTTGTCGTTAGCATCCTTATTCGGGAATAAGATAATTTTAAATGTACTATTATAACGTCATTTTCAAGTGGTGACAAGATTATGTCAAATTTAGGCAATTAAGTGTCTTTGTGATTGTCAGTTACATGACATTTTGAGTTTAAAAATACTGGCAGAGAAAAGACACCAAAATATGAATGTGGTGGTTTCTGTTGGGTGGGATCAACGCCGAATTTCTTCCTCCTCCTCCTTCCTCTCCCCTTCCCGCTGTTCCTGCCTTCTCCATCCTTCCTTTCTGTAAACCGGAGCACTTCAGAAAGATTGTGGATGAATGGAATTAAGTGATATTTTATCTTAGTGCAAAAAATGTTGAGAGCTGGACCAGGCGATGTTGTGCGCTAGGTTAAGCTGCCACTTGCAACTTTGGCTTCCACGTGCAAACTCCAGGTCCTGGCTGCTCTGCCTTCAGCCTGGCTCCAGAATAGCAGCCTCCGAAAGCCCCGGAAGGCAGCACAGTGCTCGGATCCCTGCCACTGCCAGGGGCGCCCTGGATGGAGTTCCGTCCCAATCCCAGACCTCGTAGCCATATGTGGAATGAACCAGCAGATGGAAAAATCCTCTCTCTCACTCTGCTTTTCAAGTCAGTCAATCTGAAAAATTGAAACCCACATGTAGTTTTTTTTTGGACAGGCAGAGTAGACAGTGAGAGAGAGAGAGACAGAGAGAAAGGTCTTCCTTTTTCCATTGGTTCAACCCCCAATGGCCACTGCGACCTGCGCACCACGCTGCTGATCCAAAGCCAGGAGCCAGGTGCCTCTCCTGGTCTCCCATGAGGGTGCAGGGCCCAAGGACCTGGGCCATCCTCCACTGCACTCCCGGGCCACACAGAGAGCTGGACTGGAAGAGGAGAAACCGGGACAGAATCTGGCTCCCCGACCGGCACTAGAACCCGGTGTGCCGGCACCGCGGGCGGAAGATTAGCCTAGTGAGCCGCGGCACTGGCCCCACGTGTAGTTTTTTTATACTGTGTTTTCCATGAACTCTAAGACGCCCCATATTTTGTGTTTTTTAGATTTACAAAGTACGTTACGTTACACTGAAAATAGCAGTAGACGTTTCATTAAGATTCAGTTTCTTTCACCTGGCTGCTCTCTGCATGATGGGCTGCTCTGGGGTAATCTGCTTGCCCAGTCGCCTTCTTTGTGGTGGATTTTGAAGTTGTCTCACATTCTGAGCTGTCCCAGGCAGCTGCCTGTCGGTGCCCAGTCAGAGGCAGCGGTCTTCTGCACAGGTGCTCATGGTGTCTCGTGTTTCCTTGCAGACTCTATGAGAACAAGGGAGAGGCCGACTTCGTGGAGTCCCTGCTGCAGCTGTTCCGGTCCATCAACGACATGATGAGCAGCTTGTCGGACCAGACGGTCAGGGTGAAGGTGGGTGCAGGCCACGCTCAGCTCAACCTGGAGATGAAGGTCAAGGTGAAGGACCTGGGTGGATGTCAGGGTGAAGGCCACGCCCAGGTCAACCTGAGATGATCAGGGTGAAGGTGGG